CGTGTGTCCTGAGTGTACTCCTGCTCCGGTCTAACCTGAAGTGGAAGCCCGCCCCCTAGCCCCCAGGGGGATGCACAACAGAAACCGTGGGAGAAGGAAGACAGCGCCTGGTGAAAGATATGATAATAATTTATAATTTATCAAGAGGTCACAAGGGGCCGAGGGGAGAGCAAGGGTAAAAAGCAGAGCCAATACCAAGGGCTCAAACAATATAAATGTCTAGGAAATAATGATGGCACCATATGTATAAATATGCTCGATACAATCGATGTATGGATTGTTATGAGAACTGTAAGAGCCCCCAATAAAATGATCTTTTAAAATAAATAAATGCACGAAAACTGAAGAAAAAACATTAGCGAGCAGGGCCCATTATAATTCATCAGTCCAATCCCATTTTCTCTAAGGGTCCTATATCCAGGGACCCGCTGACCTAACAGCACTTACACCCTTTTAGTCCTCAGCATTCATGACCAAAAGGCACGCATCCTACAAGACCTCATTGCTCTTCCTGCAGTCAGGGGTGGGCGTGTTAGTGGCCCCTCCCCGACCCCGTTACACCTTTAGACTTTCAGTGTGGCCTCCTTGGAATAACCCCCAACCCATTCAGATGAGGTGCCAAGCGCTGCCCCGAGTCAGAAATCTATAATCCGTATTCCTCGGGGACTTGGTGGCTTTGCTCCCATTGCTGGTCTCTTGCACTTCCCTCTTTGGCCCCACTGTGGGTTTTTTGTGTTGGGGGTGTGTGTTTAAATTGCTCTCAGCCATCTTCTCTCCTGTTCACAAAGTTAGGTCATCCACAGCTCAAATATTTTTAGCTCAATTTCAGTGTCACCAACTTCTTTAAAAGGTCATGTTTGTATATATATATATATATATATATATATATATATATATATATAATCACTGAGAGCCTTCTTTAATGCACTTCACTGAACAAAATGATTTCTATTAAATAATCCCATGAAATATATTGATCTTTGTCTCATCTTTGTTCTCTTGGAAAAACACCTCCAGTTGAAAAACAATGTCGGCATGTAAATTCTGTGTCAACAAAATGTTGCATCCACAAAACGCTATTTGAAATTTCCTGAATGAAAAAAATCATTCTTTTGGAAACTCCAATGTAAAGATCCACGTGTTACTGAAGTATGCGTGCTTTCAAAGCACACGTACATCAATGATAAAGCAAATGAAAAACTAATCCACGGTGTCTCTCAGGAGGTATATCTCTTCTAATCAGGATTTAGGCCAAAAGTTGACCTACTTAGTAATTTCCCAAGAAGAAATTTTAAAGTGAGGTTTGATTTTAGACATGGAAGCTCAGATTATTCTGTATAAAGTCATCTATAATGTCAAAGAATGGAATTATTCACACTAAAGTTTGTTATGTCAAATAGTGTGATAAATATAGTAATCATTCCTTTTCATGGTATTAAAGTATGGCTATGGGATACTGACGCTTCACAGCACTTCCAAGTCTGTCTAGAACCAGGAACGCTTTCAAGTGCACCACCATATTTGAGGTAACAAGATGAAACAACTGACAAACAGGTATAGATGTAGAAAACAAATCAGCCTGGGAATAAACTTAGAATTCCAAATCCATCTGTGAGAAGCCAATGCTTTCTGTTCTCCGAGGAAGACCGATCTCACGGACATGAGACCCATTCTGACTCATCGTTCTTGTGCTAGCCAAGTGCAAATTGGACTCCAAATTCTCTAAGTAGTCAATGTGGTGGGAAATGCTATCAAGGACGTGTTTTACAATAGGGTCTGATTGCTAACCACACTAACAACCTTCTAGGAGGGACGAGGACATTTCTTGAGGGTAGTTCCACGGATGACTAAAAGACGGACAAGCAGAGATGGCGGAAGAGAGAGAACACCTGGGAGAAGCTGGCCCAGCAGCAGGAAGCTTGGACGAGACAAAGAGCTTCCTGCAGGGCTGACAGAGAAAGCCTTCCCCGGGAGCCAGCTCCCCCAATTGGGACTTCTAGCCTCCTAACGTGTCTGAGAGGAGGCTTCTGTTTGGTAAAGCCACGCCTGTGGGAGCTGTGTTATGCAACACTAGACAACTAACAGGATGACTCAATACAGTGGGAAGATGACTCCTTTGAAAAGAACACTGTAGTAAAGAGATTTGCAAAGAATTGCAATAAGGTAAAAGTTCTACTGTACAGAGCCGCTATGATCGGCCTCAGGGAGATGCCAAGGTTTTGTTTTGTTCCGTTTTGATTTTTATTAGTTCATGCCAAAGACACATTTTTTAAAGATATTCCTTTTGAGAGAACTCTCTGTAAATAATGTTTTAATTAGATTCGACATAATGATCAAACAGGAATCAGTTCAACATTGCATTTTTGAAAGCTGGTCTTTGAAGTTCACTTATTCAATGTTGCCTGTGAAGTATATTTACAACTTAATCCACTGCCATCTCCTGGATTTGGACCCAGAGAATACAACTGGCCCCTAGGGGGTTCCAAGATGGAAACATTTTATGGGCGTAGAAAACCTCATCTTTAAAAAAAAAACACAAATAAAAAACCTCATCTTTCTCTCTCAGATCAGCTGGCGGTTTCGAACCACGGACTTTGCAGTTAGTGGCCTAAGGTGTAACCCGCTATCCACCAAGACTCCTCAGGTAAATATAAAGAGAACAAAACCAAAACTCACGGCATTGAGTCAATGCTGACTCATAGCGACCCTATAGGACAGGGTAGAACGGCCCCTGTAGGTTTCCAAGACTGAACTCTTTCCTGGAGTAGAAAGCTTCCTCTTTCTCCCACGGAGCAGCTAGTGGCTTCGAACAGCTGACCTTGCAGTTACCAGCTCAAAGCAAAACCTCTATCCACCAGGGCTCCTCGGGTCAACATAGTAAACATAGCCATGAAATTTAGTACTCAGCCAATCTAGTATAAAAATAAAGTTCATTCACACTAGAAGCAGAACCATAAAATACCCAGATGTAAATTTGGCAAGAAAAGCAACAACATTTTGATGAGATTGGACTAATTGAAAATACATGTCGTTCCACAATGTGAAGAACTTGATTGCTCTCCAGCTGAATAAGGACATTTGATACAATTCCAGTTAGAATTGCAACATATCTCTCCCACCACCACCACCACCACCCCTCCTGGAAGCTGATAAATTGATGATAGTAAAATGTGTCTGGAGAAGTGAATGCATATGAATATAAATATCAAGAATATTTTGATACAGAAAAAAATAAGAAATTTGATCAGTCATATATGAGATCATATGAAAATCAGTGGGATTTGCGCAGGAAAATAGAAAAATTAAGGAAGCTCACAATACAAGTCTCTCTCTCTCTCTCTGTATATATATATATATATATATATACAGAGAGAGAGAGAGAGAGAGAGAGAGAGACCTGGAAGGTTGGGCCAAGGAATTTTTTTCCCCCATCACAACAAAGCACCTGCTCATTCTTCAAGGGCAGCACGATTGGAAAACCTTACCCCACCATATATACACATACACACACACACACACACAAGAGTAAGTCAAAAAGTAGCGGCACGATATCATGAAGCCTTTAATAAAATATCAAAAGGTGGTGCTATTGTTTCTTGACATGGTCTCCACAAAGATTTATACACATTTGCAATCTGTAAATTACATCAAGTCAAAAATACAGTTCTGGCATCTTTGAGGGAATCAGACT